CGATCTTAACTTCCAAGTCTATAATTGTGGCTAGGGATGTGAATTCACTGTCCCAAAGCCCTCCACCACTTCCCGTTTATCGGAGTGCATTAATAATATCAGCATGATCCATAGGTTGACCATCGGTAGTGACAGCGGATCCACCAGCCTATCACCTCTTTTATTCCCATCGACACCCGCATATCCCTGAATGAAAATAGGTCGCAGTTGATTGAACGAATCACAGTTCCAGTCGGGAACGCGAACATACTTGAAGCTGAGACTCACATTTCAGTGGCTTCCTGCAGGTGCCAGCATGCGTGCTTGTCCGCCTTCTCCTTGTCCGTCTGCAGGTTTTCTTGACTGGGTCATTTGTCACCATCATACGCCGAATCCATCCCGAGTAGAGTCTGAACTCACGCGCATGTACTCCATTGCACGCTCCAGAACCCACTCCGAATGATTATTTAAAATTGCGAGCAAGCGAAAATGTAGAATTGTCGCCATTTTGGTTGTTTACACAAGAAGAAAACGAGTGAAAAGAGTTAAGATATACAACTATGTGTATTTACAACTACTTATGTATACGTCAGAATCGGTTTTCTCTCTCTCTCTCTCTCTCTCTCTCTCTCTCTCTCTCTCTCTGTCTCTCTTTCTCTCTATCTCTCTCACTGTCCGTCTCTCTCTCTCTCTCTCTCTCTCTCTCTCTCTCTCTCCCTCTCTCTCACTGTCCCTCTCTCTCTCTCTCACTTTCCGTCTCTCTCTCTCTTCCTCTCTCTCTTTCTCTCTCTCTGTCTTTTCTGTAGATGTCTCTCTCAATCTTTCTCTCTCTCTCACTGTCCGTCTCTGATCTCTCTCTGTTCTCTCTCTCTGCTTTCACTAGACGTCTTCGTGTGTGTGGTGTGTGTGTGTGTGTGTGTGTGTTTGGTGTGTGCGTGTGTGTGTGTCTTCTATTAATGCTTTCACTAGAAGTCTTCGTGTGTATGTGTGCGTGTATGTGTGTGTATGTGTGCGTGTGTGTGCATAAGTGTGTGTGAGTGTGTAAAAAAAAAGAAGAAGAATGTGTAAGACAGAGCAGGAGGAAGACGAGAAAGAGAGGATAAGAATATAACAATTATAATTGTAATAATAATAATACAATAGTAATAAATGCATGTGCATTTGTGTTGCTGTTATGGAGAAGCACTCTAATGTAGATATGGGCCACACAAACACTCTCCTCGAATCTGTTTGCAATAGGCTAAACCGGATGTCAGTTCTCTCCCTGTTCTGTAAAATGTAGATACAGATATCTACTCTCCGTCTTCTGTAGAAAGTAGATACAGTTAGGTATCTACTCTCCGTCTTCTGTAGAATGTAGATACAGTTGGGTATCTACTCTCCCTCTTCTGTAGAATGTAGATACAGTTATACATGACTCTCAGAATTGTTCCTCTCGACAAAACTCATTGACATATTTAGCCAGTATTCCGGGTTCTTGTTCCATAAAGTAAACTGTGTCGCTCAATCGTAAAGTTGAAACTGATGCTTTTGAACTATCAACAAATGCAAATGGGCTAGTGAGAAGAATAGAAACTTATCTTGGGAAGTGATCTTTACTCAAACAAGTTAACAGGCATGTGAACTACTCGCCTGGTTGGCGGGACAGTCAGATCTGTTATCAGCTGTGATCTTCTTGTACTCCGGTATTCCTACAGGAGCCGGTAAAGTACAGATGAACAATTGGTGAGCGTGCTCCGTGACGACCATGTTCTGGTTCCACTGATGTAACCCGGCTAAAACAGCAGAAATGTCAACATTAGACCAGCAACCAAGTCTTTAAGAGAGATCCCAACGGCTGACAGGGATTCGCCCAGACTGATCCCTTGTTTGTGTTTTGTTGTTGATACAGGGATTCGAAAACGTTTGTCATTGTTGATGTTTTGTTGTCTAAGTTTACCCAAGCCGCCCGTGCTTCGGGCTGCACTTGCCAGCACATATCTAATCGTGTGGCTGGCTCCAGGTTTGTGTTCTGTGTTTGTGAGCTGGCGCTTTGATTTGGATCTGGCAATGATGGGTAATCGAGAATGCGTGAAGTTGGCGCCCATGAGCGACTCACTTTGAGCACAATTATCGCCGGTAATGAAACCGGTTGTTGAGCAGTTAACAATTCCGCTGTGCAAAATAAAACTCCTTCAGGGAGCGTGAATCGTCATCTGTTTTTCAGTGGCTGCAGTCAAGCGTGGGAGGGGGGTCGCGCCTAATGCCTGTGTTTGTTAGGTTTTATTTACGTATATCAGATAGGGCTATTTATCCATTTATTCTTCCATCCATCCATCCATCCATCCATGTTAGACCCGTCCTTTAACCCCGGCACTCATTTATTTGTGTCACATTCAGTCACCATCTTTCCATTCTTCCATGTATTTGGCAATCAATCTGTTGATTCTCTCCTCCTTGTTTATGCCTTCGTGCGGTCAACATTCAGGTTAACAAATATTTTTCTCCTAATTACAAAACATATGTACGTTCTCTTTCAATCAATAAATAATTAAACCTCCAATCAGTTCAATCAATCAATCAATCATTGAGTAAACATGTCTTTTCATCTATCAGTCTGTCTGTCTTTCTATTCCGTCAGTATTTCCACCTGTCTGTCCTACTGTCTATCTGTCTGTTTGACTGTCTGTCTGACTAACAGGCGTCTCCTTGGTCGCTTTGGATATGAATGGAATACCTAGTCCAGTCAGATAAGGTATTTAGGTGGTAATAGACTCTGCGTGTATTTCACTGGCTTATTTCTTGTGTTCACAATTGTCCTTTTTTTTTTTAGCTGTGCCTGTATGACTATCTCATTGATTCATTCTGGTATTCCATGTTGTCCTTTCAATGCAGCTTCCCTGTTGCCTAAACGTTAGTGAATGCGTTTCATACGTCCTCTAGTCTCGACACACCAAGGTTCGATTTACACGGCGGGCGGTTTATTGTTAAAAAAGGACAGTTCTAGTAGCCTTCGAAAAGTGGTACGAGAATTTGACCCTGGAAGAGAAGTAGAGGTGTGTCAAGGACCTGATATCTATATTATTGAACTAGGGCTCGCTGTACGGCCCTGTGACAGACAAACTATACCAAAACACACTCAACACATACACAAATGAAGCACACACATCATCTTTAATGACCAAAGAACAATATACCCTACAACAACCTCTACAGTTATGGACAGTCCCTTTATCCGAAACCCCCGGGCAGTGGCGGCAGTTATATTTACCTATCCACCCCGGGCCATTCCCATGGATATACCAAAGGACACGATTCCACCTCCTGTAGTGCAGCGCTAACTAGGCTACGATCTTCGCCATGCGAGACTCAGTGGCACACGCAGGGTGAGTGGTTCAAGTATTGGCGGACAATGTCAACGACAGCACAAGACGCAGATAACACCCAAAAAATACAGGGACAAGTACACCTACATAAACATGGTGCAACCCCAACACAACTGTCTTAACATACTATCAGCACACGAGGAATAACAATAGCTAACCAACACATACGACGACAGCGTTAACACTACACAACCTATCTGTCAATTCCTAACAAAATAAATACAATCACGTCTCTCAAAATGTCCTCATCCTCGCAGTCCCTTTCTCTCTCTCTCTCCGTTCAGCTCCGGTTCAAACGTGTACGTTGCACCAGTGTTTACGAATCTCGGGTTTTCCCCGTATCATCAAATCAACTGGCTGAGCGCTGGTGCACATTTTTGGTCCGTCAAACACCAACATGTAGTTACACGACCTATTGTCTATGCTCTGTCCCACAGGGCTATGACAAGGTGGAAAAGAATTATACAGTGGAGGAGAATTAGAATATGTAACATAATTTGATAATGGAAGAGAATTAGACATTGAAGAGAATTTGACACAGACGGACAGTTTCTTATCACTGTCCGTACTTGTGGCAGAGCACTTATGGTTTATAACCGTGTGCAGTGACGCTGGTTGACATCTCTCGACTTTAACTTTACCTGTTAGAGAATTGGACAGTGGAAGAAAATTAGACCCTGGAGGAGATTTGGACCTTGGAAGAGAATCAGACCCTGGAGGAGATTTTGACAGTGGAGGAAAATCGGATGCTGGAATAGCAGCAATACCTCCACTGCAGTCAGCCTTTGCGGCACGTATGTTTCAATAAGGACAGAACTGACATACCCAGCACTTGCGCTTTTGCCCTAGGCTGCACAAACATCAAAACCTTTTGAGGTGTGAGTATAAAGAAGTTGACAAAAACGTCCTCAATATTGGCGCTCTCAGGAACCCGCCCAACAGCGGTATAGGGTGTACCAGCACTGGACACTCACACAGTAGCTATCTACTCTACCGCTCCATCACCGAGGCGGCGGGACAGTTCAACAACAATTAGCAGAATCTACAACACAGACCCACACATGAATCACGTGACAACCGACAACCAATAAAACACAGGGCATCTGCAAGGGTCAGGGGCTGCAGAATAAATGGACGGGATTAAATTCTGTCAGATTTAATGAAATAGCGGCCGGCATGGTCTGGGACCTGTTTGCCGGAACGGCCAGCCACTAGAAGCCACAACCAAATATTCTAAATCCATTTTTCCTTGTCTGGTTTTACGTTTGTTGAAACTGCTCTTTAGTTGTTGGCCTATTTGTGCAATTATCTTTATTTATTGCCGGATTATGACTGAAATGATGCCGGGTTTTCGTCTGTTTATCAAAGACCTCTCTGATGAAACTGTTCTATTGTTATTTATTGACTGACGTAATTTGTGACTAGTGTCAATGGTCCAGCGGTTAGGGCACTGATCTTTTAGCCAAGAGAGGCAGTCTCTGTGTTTTCTGATCAATAATTGACGTCACTACTCACCGGAAGGGTCCACAAGTGCTAGGTCTCTTCCGACAGACACTAAAATGTGTGAATGGACATTTTTTAAAGGTTTTTTAGATTCACAGCCTGACCTGTAGCTTCTGCCTCTAGTTCTATGGTTGACTCCTTAGCCACGCAGACCTAGTCGATTGTATCTGTCTTGTGACATGTCTTGTTGTTGAAGCTGGGACTTGCAGGCCCACTCTCTCTCCACCCTGCCATCTGTCCATATCCACCCTCTCTCCACCCTGCCATCTGTCCATATCCACCCTCTCTCCACCCTACCATCTGTCCATATCCACCCGTTCTCCACCCTGCCATCTGTCCATATCCACCCTCTCTCCACCCTGCCATCTGTCCATATCCACCCTCTCTCCACCCTGCCATCTGTCCATATCCACCCTCTCTCCACCCTGCCATCTGTCCATATCCACCCGTTATGAACCTTGCCATCTGTCCATATCCACCCGTTCTCCACCCTGCCATCTGTCCATATCCACCCTCTCTCCACCCTGCCATCTGTCCATATCCACCCGTTATGAACCTTGCCATCTGTCCATATCCACCCTCTCTCCACCCTGCCATCTGTCCATATCCACCCGTTATGAACCTTGCCATCTGTCCATATCCACCCGTTCTCCACCCTGCCATCTGTCCATATCCACCCGTTATGAACCTTGCCATCTGTCCATATCCACCCGTGTCCCTTTCCCTGCATTGGGTGCTGATAAAGACACTTTGCTATTTCCACATAAGCAATAAAACACGCGTTTCCATACTTGTTGTATTGACTTGCTCAGTACTTGTTGTATTGACTTGCTCAGTACTTGTTGTATTGACTTGCTCAGTACTTATAGTATTGACTTGCTCAGTACTTGTTGTATTGACTTGCTCAGTACTTGTTGTATTGACTTGCTCAGTACTTGTTGTATTGACTTGCTCAGTACTTGTTGTATTGACTTGCTCAGTACTTGTTGTATTGACTTGCTCAGTAATTGTTGTATTGACTTGCTCAGTACTTGTTGTATTGACTTGCTCAGTACTTGTTGTATTGACTTGCTCAGTACTTGTTGTATTGACTTGCTCAGTACTTGTTGTATTGACTTGCTCAGTACTTGTTGTATTGACTTGCTCAGTACTTGTTGTATTGACTTGATCAGTACTTGTTGTATTGACTTGCTCAATACTTGTTGTATTGACTTGCTCAATACTTGTTGTATTGACTTGCTCAATACTTGTTGTAATGACTTGCTCAATACTTGTTGTATTGACTTGCTCAATACTTGTTGTATTGACTTGCTCAATACTTGTTGTATTGATTTGCTCAATACTTGTTGTATTGACTTGCTCAATACTTGTTGTATTGACTTGCTCAATACTTGTTGTATTGACGTGCTCAATACTTGTTGTATTGACTTGCTCAATACTTGTTGTATTGACTTGCTCAATACTTGTTGTATTGACTTGCTCAGTACTCGTTGTATTGACTTGCATAGGCTAATTAATAGCCAGGCCAAATTATTCAATTTGTTTTAAATATCATTGCTTTCTGTTTTTAAAATATCCTCACTCCACAAATTTATGATTGTAAAAACACAATTTTGCCACTTTGTCAACCCATTGCCGATGGCACTCAGAGCTGTTGAAATTGTTTCCATATTTTAATAAATTTTTTTTTGTTAAATTACCCAAACATCCCAAAGGGTACATCATTCTAGATATGATTTTTTTTCCCCATTGTAAAACCGTAAATATGGGAGTCGCCGTAGCTGAGCCGGACTTTTTTTACTCCCAGGTCGACCCAGCCTTGAGTGTGTAATGGGTGCAGTCCCGGGAAGTAAAGGTGGCCGGCATGATACTTACCACATAACCCATCTTGTGCGGATTGGTGTATAAAATATAGGTCTAGCCCTATATGCCCTATACGCCTTAAGACGTTAAAAAGGGTCCATTTCTTTTACAAAACCGTTCAAACTTCTTAAAAACGTAGACATGAAGCTTATTGTGAATTGAAATGCAATTTCTAAAAGTACCAAAACATAAGCCGTGGTAACAAAAGTATTGTTTTGCTCGGTAAGGGTTAAACAATTCAAATGTGTACGAAAGTACCAACTTGGGCAGCCCTGATGACACCACCACAGTAACCCCCAACCCCTTACCTTTCCTACACCACAACACACACGAGCTCACACAAGAAATAAATAAACAAAGGGGAGTAAACAATGCCAGTATTCTCTTCTCGAGTTACCAGAGTTAGCCCCGCCTTTCCTGGATTTGACCCGGATGTTCTCGCTCCCTGAGCCTGATTTAGGGCAGCAGCAAGTGACGCAACTCTTCCTGTTTCAATAGAGCGCCAATCTACAAGCAACAATTTACTGTTCACGTCGACTGCCAGTCTAAATACCCTGGAACAGAACATAGTGGCTTGGTATTCTTTCTTTCTCATTCTCCAAACTGTTCTTATTGCCTCCTTCTTTGTTTTGCGTAATGTGACGCAATCCCTACTCCCTTGTGTCGATAAGTTGCACTGTTTTCTATATACTGTGGTTTATTAAACATTGAGCTGAGTTGAGGTGATTGAAGAACCTACATCGCAGCACTCGGGGCATTTCCATTACTGCTCCGTCCCCGTCTTCAGCAGCCGGCGCAGAGCTCTCATACAAATGTGCTAGCAGCAGTTTGGTTTTATGTCTGTCTTGCTTTTCCTTGAGCGACGAGTGTCGGCCAGATCATCTCGTCACATCTCGCTGCATTACTGTCCCCAACTGTGATGATCCATTTGCTCATTTGAATGGTGCACGTACTCCCATAGCCCTTTACCATGTCTGCCTTATCATGCATCAGTATTCCAACAGAACTAGCCAACGTGACCGCCTGTTTATTTCCCAAAACTCAGTATGCCCCAGAGAAAAGATCCAGAAAATGGTCCTCATCAGTGACCTCCGAAGCAAACTATGCATGCCTGTCGTCATCTTCCTCAGCATAAAGCTAACATGGCGGAGACTACACACATTATGGCAATAATAATACGATTGCGTGAGGTTATTGTTATTATTGGCAAACTCTCTGGACGTTCTGGTTGGAGCCCAGAACACCCATTTCATGACCCCATGTTATCGCATAAAAATGTGCCTCTTTTCAACCCACAACGGCTAGCCGCCTTCTGAAAGCGTTGCACAAGGCACGACCTGGCTCCAGCGAGATGCCCAGAGATCTCGGTAAAATCTGCTCTGGCGAACTCAACCACACGTCCTTGAAATACACCCACGGCCTTCAAAGCGCAAAGCGATAGGCCACCCAGCCATCTTAAGTTCAGTGTGTCGGTGGCCAGGTTATTCAAGCCATAAAAGGGGGCCTGAAGACCGAACACATAAACACGATTTCATGGAGACCGTGATGCAGAGTTCTCCTCCCCCCCCCCCCCTCTAAACTCAGAAACCAGAGGCGGGTGCAGTGATAGCACAGCGGTTAGCCAACTGGTCACAATTTAGCCCTTAAAACGGATGTACGCTAAAAGCTTAAGCCTTGGCACAAAGCCAAAGTCCAAATGGACGAACAACCAGAGCTTCCTGCCGTAGGGTACAGCCGGTAAACCAAGAAGATCCTGTAGACGGTCAGTGAAGTTCCGGTTCCGGTTTGTGTGAAAAAAAAAAAAAAGTTCTAGTCACCCTAACCAGCTCCAAAATTGAGCGGCGGTTATGTTGGGACTGCGTTTAGTTGATTGGGAATTCCAATAGTTTTTTGTCCATTGTGGCGTGTCCATACGCCTGCATTCGTGCCACCTGTCAGCCTTTTGTCATTTCCTTGTTGTGTATCTCGTTGTCCAGTCCGTCGTCGCTGAGTGCACCAAGGCACCACCAGTGTCACCATCTCGAGACAAACAAGCTTGCCACCTTGCGCCCCAAAACACGGCCCTTTTCAGGTCCCCACATTTAACATCTTTTTTGTGCCTTTATGTTTTTGCATCTTGCATGTGCATGTGCTATTGGCTTATAATTTTTTTTGGGCCCCTTTTTGGGGTTTTTTTTTGGGGGGGGGGGGGCCTTTTTTAATTGTTTAGACAAGTTTTCTTCTTGTAAAAAATGGTAAAGATGTAGTGGACATGAGTATAGGTACAGTCAATTGATAATGATCCGACAATTTTTAAGGAATTATAGTGAGGTCGGAAGATGTAGATAGATGAGTAGTTTTTTAGAGGCTCCTTATTAGGCGTCCGGACTTGAGAGTGGGGGTGTCGCTGTCCTCTGGTCTGTTTCCCTCTCGGTAGGTCGTTGAGCTGTTCCTGATTGTGTTGTTGTTGCTGGGTTGGTTGGACCAGTAGTTTTTCCTGCATTTGTCCTACTTATGTATTGCTTCACCAGTTTCTGGATGCCAGGCTCGCTGTTCACATGTAGGATCTCGGTGACAGAGAGAGTGGTGTTTTTACTCTGTAGGTGGTTAATTATTGGGCGCCTTTGCACTTCGTACTTTGAGCATTCCAGTAGGTAGTGGGCTAATGCGTTGTTTTTATTGCATTCGGAGCACCTCGGCGTTTTGTACGTTTCCGTCCAGTTGCCGAGTCTGAGGTTCCATAATTTGTTGAAAACGGGTATTTTCATAGGGTCTTTAATCTGGAAGGCGAGTCTGGGTTTTCTTTGCAGCTGGAAGGCGTGTCTGCCCTGCACACCTTGTTGCCATTGTGTGTTCCATGCGTCTGTAATATACTGTCTTGTGACTGCACGGCCTTCTGATTTGCCCAGGCCAATGTCTAGGGTGCGGTCGCTGGTGCAATCTCTTGGCGCATTCGAACCAGAGGCCTTCGATCACCAGGCAAACCTTAACCACTATGATACTGTGTCTCACACCATTTAGGTGTAAATTACTCATCTCCTTCCGTTGGAAAATAAAATGACTTCCCCATCAAAAGCGACCTATTTATCTCAATACTTTAAGGTCCGGAAAAGTCCCCGGTTCGTAGCAAGCAATCTAGCTTGGGCCCTTGCAGGGGCGCTGTCGTGTAAATTTGGTTTAATGGGCGCAGCGAGCCGCCCCGTGGTCGTAAAGGGGAGTTATGTGATGGGGTTTTCACAGACAAGATATCGGAATTTTCTAAAGCAATTGAAACTGGTTGGAGTTGTCGATCGCTGTGTCAGTGTGGGGCTGGGCGGGGGGGGGGGGGGGGGAGGGGTGGGGAAGGGGGTATGTGTGTGTTGTGTTGCTAATTGTGCGTGTACGTGAGCTGTGTCATTAACTGCGCAAGTATGTGTGTTACGTGAATAATTATGTGTAATGTGTTGTGTCAATAATTATGTGTGTAAGTGTGTTGTGTTTGTAATAGCGTAAATATGCGTGTGTGTGTGTTTGCGTGTGTGTATGTCTGTTGTCGATGACTGTGTGTATTGCCGTTCTATCAGTTGATGATTGTGCATGTGGGAGTTGAG